CGCCTGCCCCGGTTGCTGCGGGAACGGCGCCTGTGGAGCAAAGCCCGGAGCTCGGCCTTCTGGGAGATTGTGCGGGTCAAGGCCTTCAGCCCCTGGGAGTGGGTGGAGAACTTCCGCGTCTCCCCCACCACCTTCGACTACCTCTGCTCCCAGCTGCGCCACGCCATCCAGCGGCGGGACACCAACATGCGGCGGGCCATCCCGGCCGACGTGCGCCTGGCCATGACCCTCTGGCGCCTGGGGGCCTGCACCGAGTACCGGGCGGTGGAGCAGCTCTTCGGCGTCTCGCGCTCCACCGTCTGCAAGATCCTGCGGGACGTTTGCGAAGCCGTGGTGGCCATCCTGACACCAGCCTACGTCCGCCCGCCAGACCCTGCAGAAGTGGCGGCCGGCAACGGCTTCCCCTTGCCCCAGCTGGCTGGGGTGCTGGGCTCCCTCCACGTCCCCATCCGAGCGCCCAACGAGAACGCCCCGGGCTACTACAACCGCCACGGCTGGCATTCCTTGGTGGTCCAGGCGGCTGTGGACTCCCGCGGCTGCTTCTGGGATATCAACGTGGGGTGCCCAGGAAGGGTGACCGACTCTCAGGTGTTGTGCACGTCGGAGCTTTACCAGCGAGCTCAAGAAGGCGAACTCTTCCCAGGCGGATCGAAAGACGTCCGGGGGGTGCAGGTGCCCGTTTTCTTGCTGGGCAGCTGCTCTTACCCCTTCCTGCCTTGGCTCATGAGGCCTTATCGGGATGAGGCCCTGACTCCCGCCCAGCAGCGGTTCAATGAATACGCTGCCGCCGCACGGACGGTGGTGGGGGTGGCCTTTGGGCGCCTGCGAGGGCGCTGGCGATGCCTCACCAAACGCAATGACACAGACGTTTCCTTCCTGCCCACCCTCATCGCCGCCTGCTGCACCCTCCACAACGTCTGTGAGGCACGCGGGGACGTTTTCCAGTCGTGCTGGATGGAGGAGGAGCAGCAGCAGCAGCGGGAGGAACACCCATTCGAGGAGGATGAGGAGGAAGACGTTGAAGCCGTGGAGATTCGGGACGCCCTGGCCTCTGCCCTGAGGGGTTGAATGCAAATACCGTGGCTTCCTGACCTCTCCAATAAGTCTCTTCAATAGGATCAACTTGACCTGTTGTTGCAATTTGCAGGCCACAGGTACACACAGAACTACTCAGCAGGGACATGGATACCTGCCTATCCCAACACCAACCTCCCTGGACAAATGAAAATATATTTTTACCTGCTTTACATTTTCCGTTCATTTTAGCTACCATCACCAACTCCTGAATACCTTCTGAAAGAACTATTGGGACTAGAGTTGAGAGCATAGAAGAATACACTGGACAACGGGGTGTTGATGGGAGTTGCATATTACGGCTGAGATCCTGTGGCGTAAGTTACACCTCGTAAGGCTGGTGACATCCTCATCAGCCATGCTTCTTAAGAAATTAATCAGCCATGATGCTTTAGAAATTAAACATTCTTGACAATGAAAATGAGTACACAGGAGCCTTGGACCCTTCAGGGGAGAATCATCATCATCATCATAGATCTGAATGGATGGAAAGGGACCTTATGGATCATCGAGTCTAGCCCCTGCCAAGAAGGCACCGTGGGGAATGGAACTGTCTAATGTTTAATTTCTTAAAAACAACATCACTACTGCTGATGACATCATCAGCCTTACATGGCTTAACTTATGGCAACAGGATTTCAGCCTATAAGTTACTACAGTGTTGTAGATTGTGAGGGAAACCAGGTTGGGTGGGTGGGGTGTAGATATCAAGTGTTTAATAAAATCGTACAAAAGCTGAATGTAAATAGCTTCATTTTAAGTGTGTCATTTTAAGAACTAATACCTTTCCGGAGTGGAGGTGTTTTTACTATGGGTTGCTTTGAGTTGTTTTAAGTTTCACATCCAGTCCTTGCAGGAAGCACTACAAATGCCTCTGTGTATGTGCAGAGTGTTATTTTCCCAACCATACACCCCGAAACATGCGGTATTCCAAGGGCAGTTTTACAAAGGGGAGCAGAAGAGTTGGATTGCTCATTAACAAAGATTAGTTGGCTCATAAGCTGGCCGAGTCTTGCCCTTCCTTCGGGATGAGAAGATCAGCACAGTACTTTGCCAACAAGGGGAAAGGCCAGCTTTTTCAGCCCTGCTGTTTTATTCAAATGCAGTCTTGATGGCCAGATCCTCTGTGCGGATCAAGGATTAACAGGATGCCAAAGAAAGGTTAATAGACTCCCCCCTCCCCTTTCCCCTGGATTCTGTTTTCTAATGTAGAGACCCTCCTTTCTGTGCAGATAGAGCAGCTTAAAAACCAAGGCATAAGAACACCATGATCCCCGCCCCCCCCCGAAACTGTTCCAGACATTCTTATTTTACCTGTTTATTTGGAAGCAAAAATGCCCTCGCTCAAGGCTCAGAAGAGATTATAGCAAATTTGCGTATAACAGAGGTCTCTTATCCAGAGAGGATTCACAGAACCAGAAGAGACAACAAGGCTCCAAGGGTGGAGGGGAGTCAGAGGGACGCCGAGGAAAAACAAGATTGTGCAATGCAAGTGACGTACCAGCCAGTTCTTGCTGGTTTAAATTGCTATCATTTGCTGGAGGAGGCGAGACAGTCTCTCTCGCAGGGCCAGAAAGAGACAATCTCCCCAGAAATAGCCAATGCTGTGCTTATGGAGTGAAAAAGTCAAGTCTCCGCTCCATTTACGTTGAGCTCCCTCCTTGATCAGGGTGTGTCGGGTGGCTGTCGATAGCAGGGATTGCAAAACCTGTCGGCTTAATGGTTGGCAGTTTCGTTCCACCCACCCATTCCTGCCTCCAGGTTGTATTCTGAATTGTCAGTCCCGGCATCAGATAGGGAATAGGGGTATATTGGGTATATATATTGAGCTACGAGGGAGGGAGGGAGGGAAGAGCATCCAGTCTCATGCACCCCTGCCTAGCAGTGATACTGCAGGGGGGTCAAGGAGGGACCCCAAATCCAGGTCTTCTCTGGGTGTGGGCGCATGCAGAGGGAATGGGAGGTTAGAGGGTTTGGTACCCGGAATGTGCCCGCCGCCGTCCCACGAGGAAAGCGATGATGACGATGAGGATCAGGAGAGCGAGGAGGACCCCCACGATAATGGGCAAGGTGCTGGAACGCTTCGGCAGTGGACAGACGTCCGCTGAAAGGGGAAAATAAAAGATTCAGTGAAAAGGAGGCGGACGTTCAGGGTAAGAGGGAACACGGGCCTCTTGAGAGCAAAGCCAGAGGTTGGAAGTTTGAATCCCCCAGTGGGCCGCCTGCCTTGACAGGGGCCGGACTCGATGACCCCGAGGGTCCCTTCTGGCTTTGCCATTTGAAGAGGATGATGATGACAGGAGGAGAGGCCACCCAGCTGCTCCTTGTGGATTTGGAACGGGAGTCATGGGAAAGAAGAAAGGAGGGTCTAAGCTTGCTCTGCCAAGACGGGGCCCTGGGTGAAGAAAAAGGTGAGCAATAGGAATTCAAAGAACTGTGGAATCATAGAAGGGGCTTGTAAGGCCATGGGGTCCAAACCCCGAAAGGAGGGTCTAAGCTTGCTCTGCCAAGCCGGGGCCCTGGGCGAAGAAAAGGTGAGCAATAGCAATTCAAAGAACAGTGGAATCATGGAAGGGGCTTGTAAGGCCATCGGGTCCAACCCCCCCCCCTGCTCAAGGCAGGAACCCAAATCAAAGCAGATCGGACAGATGGTTGCCCCATGGTCTCTTGAAGGCCTCCGGCGTTGGGGCGCTCACCCCCCCCCCGAGATCATAACTTCCATCGTTGTACCGCTCTATCAGTTAGGAAGTTTTTCTTGATGTTCAGCCTAAATCTGTCTTCCTGTCGCTTGAGCCCATGCTTGCGTGTCCTGCATTCTAGGATGATGGAGAAAACAGATCCTGCCCTTCCTCTGTAGGACCACCCTTCAAGTCTTTGAAAAGCGCTCTCCTCCTATCTCCCCTCCATCTTTTTCCCCCCTCCAGGCTAAACAGTCCCAGTTCAAGGGAGACATATACATATATTGAGCTACCAGGGAGGGAGAGAGGGAGGGAAGAGCATTCAGTCTCATGCACATAAAGGTGACCAAGTGGTGAACATAACGTTCTCTTCCAGTTTTCCAGTTTCCAGCTGGGGATCAAGAAAACCAGAAAATTCAGCACAGAGGAAAGAATCCGATCCCCTGAAGGTGATAGAAAACTGAGGCAAACGGCACAGAAGACGGAGGGACAGCATGAAACAAGGGGGTTGTATTTGAGGAAGACCTTAGGGGCCCAGAGAGAAAGCTTGCCCCATCTACCCCGGCTCCAAAGCCATAAAGCCTGCACTGAGGAAATAGGAGCGCTTACCTTCTCCAAATTGTCCATCTTTCAGTTCAAAGGCTTGGACACGTTCGTTCTGCGCATGGAGGCGAAAGCTGTCAGCGAGGGCCAAAGTCCTGTTCTGGCACTGGTAAGAGTGCCCGAGGTGAGCCTCGAACTCGTGCAGAGAGGCGTTATCAGCGGCGAAGGACGTTTCTGGAGAGAGAGAGAGAGACAGACATGGGTTGGGGGCATCTGAGACCTTCTTAAACAAGGCAGCCCCACTTTCCTGCTGCCTTGCGCTTGGTTTCTGGGTCGACCGGCTGAAGTATTTCCCTCTCTTTAATTAATTAAACAATTCATTTGCGTGAACACTGAGATCGTTAGCGTGGGTTTTGTGGGGTGTTTCGTTTATGGGTTGGGCTCAGAAGATGGAAAGCTCCATGCTGGGAAGGGGGAACGTATTTATTTATTTATTAGACTCATATGCCGCCCATCTAGACATTGTCTACTCTGGGCGGCTCACAACAGATAAAATAAAAACAATTGCCATATAAATACATTTTCACAACCATTTAACAATTAGCAGAAATGCAAGACGGTGAATCAAAGGTAAGTGAAGTGGTGCCCGGAGGGAAGGCCTGCCTAAATAGCCAGGTTTCAAGGTGGCTTTTGAAAATGCCCAGCGAGGGGGGCCAAAACGGATCTCGGAGGGGAGATTGTTCCAATTGCCTTTGCAGAAGCTGGAAATCACTGTCCCGTTTTTCTCACTCATCGCCGTCTCCGATCCTGTTGCTTGAAGTCACAACTAGAGTAGACCCGCTTGAACCGGCGGGGGATTTGGCGAGCCAGCTCCTCCGTTAAGCTCCGCGGATTCAAATGGGCCTACTCTAGCGCAGCACAGTTCGCCAAAGCAAGAGGATGGCAGCCGTTGGATTCAAACATGAATTAATTTGTGGGGGTGCTCGTCCCGTTGACATTGCACGGTGCTTTTTAACTACTTTCCAACATATTTTCCTTTTTTTAAAAAAATAAGCACCCCATGAAGGTATAGGGGCATGAGATACAACTTAGAAAATACTTATCAAATGGGATCACAAATAACTAGGACCCTTTTTCTCCCCTCGCTACAGTGTAAGGCTTGTTCCAGTAAAGACATTTTTGTTCCTGCCACCTTTTAAAAGAAGCTTTTGTTCCCCCCCCCCCCGCTATTATGAAAACAGGCGCTAACTCATTACTGGGCGCTGCGTTACCTGTAAGTCCTTACTTCCAACCTGTGTGCCTTGTACCTTAAGTAAAGAGCAGCCCATAAGTGTGTTTCAAAGCGAGGATAGCTTTCCTGCTTTATTTATGATCCTTTAATCCCCCTGCTCGGGAACCTTCCGTGGGCGTTTGGGATCTCCCTTCAGCCTCTGAGTCACCCTTTGATTGGGTGAAGGACTCGAAGCGTGCAAAAAGTTCAGGAGTCCAACCGGTCCAGAGAAACTGGCTGTGTGAACAAGGTCAGGGCTGGGCAGGAACATTCCAGGGTTCCTTGGGTATGTTAAGGATGGCAGGCATGCCCTCGAGGGCTGGAGGGAGCCTGGACGGGAGTCGTTTTATCCCACCCACCCCGTCTCCTCCCTTCTACTTTTGCTATTCCTAGACCTTTAGTCCAGGTGGGACGTTAGGAGCCCAAAGGTAAGAGGCTAAATCTTGCAAACCTGCTTCTTAAGTCCCCAGATTCCCCCACCGTTGCAACCTGGATAAGTTCGT